AGACAGAGACAGAGAGAGAGAGAGAGAGAGAGGCAATATATTTAGGATCCATTTAGTCCCATCAACATTGACTTTGTTTTTTGACAGAGTTGTGGAAGACAAACCTGGATCTGTAATACTGAGACAGCACACTCGGAAATACTTGCCACAAGCAGTTCCAAGATCTACATTGTCTGATACAAAGAATCAAAACGATGGGAATGAGAATTAAAGAAATCAAAACATCTTGATGAAACTAGTAATCTGAGAAGGTATATATAAAGACGGAATGTGATTTCCAATGATCAGGGTCATCAGCAAATTCGGTGTGAGAATGGCAGTGCAACATGCTCAGAAGTTTGCTTTGCCCTTCACACATGAAATACCTAGCATCCTAAAACTCGAAAGCAATGTTCTTATAATGATAGATTGCCACCCCTTAAATCTCGTACCGACAACAATCCTCAAAGGCCAATTGAATAATCCATCTCAGAAAATGATAATATTAGCCAACCAGCCTGTAGCTAGCATATGCACCTATATAGCACAGAATAGGTGGGATGACCAATGAAGAAAGAGATTAATAGCTACTACTTGTGCATTAATCAATTAGGATTTTAAGAAAAAGGACCTGATGACCATTTAGAAAAAAATGAACACACAAAGTTGAGGTAAAATGAGTACACTGTTCAATCATTCATTCTGTTTCTTTTTCCTATTACTGTGCTATAGGCTGTTTGTGTTATCATGCAAGTATATGGACTATGAGTGACTCATGCAAAGTGCAGCACCTCAAGAGCACAAATAATGTATTCACAATATGCATGACAACCGTATGACAAAGAAAAGAAGAAATAATCGATGACATCAATTCAAAAGCATCTGAATCAAGTGAAGCAACTAGAAAATTGTCAATCTTTGAATGTTTTCAATACGATACTATTTATCCCTAAACATCGTAACCTCTAGAAACATTTGCCTTGAAGAGAGCCACAATCATCAAAAAAGCCAGCAAATCCCCCATCTCAGGCATAGGCATGCAATCTCCTTGAATGTGGCCATATAAAATGTCTGTCCATTACTACTGCCCTACAAATTATACTAACCCCTTTTGAGCTTCTCAACCACCCCAGTAAAAACTTGAAGCAAGGAAATTTTGTGAATTGGGATGTCACAATGAGGTACACTAACTCTCCACCCTGAGTCAAGCTTCAAAAGTTGAGGAACTAGAGAAAGCCATCAATTACTTGCTCATCTTTTGGTAGGTCACCTTATGAGGAGCCCGAAAAAGAGTCAATAATAACTAGCTCAGGTCAAATTTCCCATCAGGGTAGTTTTTTCTTTTGGTAGGTCGGAATGGGATAAGACCAACGACCAAAATTAAATGACCGAGTCACCAAAAGAAGGAAAACTTGAGTGAAATCCTTGTTCCAGGAGTATTACTTTAACATGCAGGTACAGACAGATCATCAATGGGATAAGAGCCTAGTACACAGTGTTCCAAACATCAACAATTTGACAAATCAAGTCAACGACCGAAATTAAATGAATGGGTCACCAAAAGAAGGAAAACTTTGAGTCAAACCCTCGTTCCAGGAGTATTACTTTCACATGCAGGTACAGACAGATCATCTCATAAATAGACCACCAATTAACTAATTTCTGTATCAGATCTTCTCAGAACTTGATTATTTACTGGCTAGATTTTGAAACATGACCGGTGTTCATGAACAAAGAATGTTAATGAACTAGATCTGGGACTAGAAACATGACAGGTGCTCATGACTTGTTCGGAGTCTCCAGCCCAATAATGAGAACAAAACAATATCTCCCAAAAGGGATAACAAATACATCTTAGATCCCTAAAGGCACCATGCTCTCAACAGAAAGCTATCTTCTTAAGAGAGCGACAACAGCATTTTGCCAAGCACTTTCATACCTAAATAGGTATGAAGCTGCTTTCCCACCAAAATGCATTGAGCACCCCTTTGGCATGGAATGCACTTTCCAATCCAATAAACCATACAATGGAACAAAAATGGGAAAATGGCATCCAGTAAGAAAGGAATTTCTCAGATTCGATTCCTGCAAAACAAAAAAAATGCCCTACAAGAAAGGTGACAATGAATGAAATTTGAAAAGCTGAATCAACTCCCTGATCTTCCACACATTGTGTAAACTGAGCTGGAATCAGTTCTACACATGATTTCCAAGTTCTTAGCATGCAAACAATCAGCTTTTCTTCCACCACAACGTCAATAAGATGCAATGCAATCTACAGGTGTCCATGGGTAAAATTTCACATACAAGGCTGTCCTAGGATCTGAATCCACTCTCTTCAATCACATCGCCCTGTAGAACACTTCTATCAATTTTAGGGTCTTTACCACCTAAGAACATTCCATATCACTCCTATCAATTTTAGGGCTTTACAACCTAAGAACATTCCATATCACAACAATTTCGTCCCGAGTCTAGGCCATTTCTATTCCTTCCCACAAAACAAAAGGTGAAAACACTCTGATCAGCAACTACAACTTATAGATCTAAGACTATGACTAGACTATTCGCTCATTTCATACTTTGCTCATCAAGAAATTCAAAATCAATAATTCAAAACAACACGCATTCCTTTCTTAAATGCAGAAAGATAATTTTTATAGACTATGGAGAAGCAAGTTCAAATTCCTGAGGCTCCTCACAGAAATAAGGCTTCCTTTCATGAAAACACAATTGTTTATAATGACACTTCATGGTAAACATCGCTCTAAATTTTTCAAAGCAGCAAACAAGAAGATACAGGATTGCCAATGAATTCAAAAAGATTCAGAAAATATTGAGACTGCATAAGCAGAAATGGATAAATAACAAACTAAAAAAATAATGAAGAGAATCTTAATGTGCAACAGAAATAAGTTTGGGAATCAATCGCAAGAACATACAATTCTAAAAAGTTACAAATTTGTCTAATCAAGGGAAACATAAAAAAAAAAAATTAATGGAATGCATAAATTTTTAAAACATCATGATCGCAAGCTACACACATGGTTTGGAGAACAAAATAAATAGCGCACACGGAAAAAAAGTCCGTAAATTAAATAACCAAGTATAAGTACAGTAGCACACACAAAAAGTCAAACTACTCAGAATAAGGAACTTACTCCCATTGAAATGGTGAACTCCAACTTTTGCAAGCATAGCATAGTACTCGATCTCAGACTTCCGAAGTGGTGGGCAGTTGTTTGCAATAATTATCAATTTCCCTACAAATGACAAGGACAAGGAATCAGCACTGATCTTCACAAGATAAACCAGTACAATATGACATGTCAAGCCATCTTAGAAATGAAAAAACTTAAAGCACAAAAAGATTCATACAGAATTACATATGAAATGAAATAGAGGACCATGAGAAAATCCTGCAAATGGTTCACAGAAAATTAGATGAACAATTGCACTCAGGAAAATTCAGACCACGCCAATCATAGGGTCAAAAATGAAAATTCAGACCATGCAAATCATAGGATCAAAACTGAACAATATACAAGAAGCATCGAGTGTTCCGCAATTTACAAATAAAAATGAAATCAATGAAAAGATTCAACTGGAAGGAAGGTCAACTAAAGGCACAGGATGGCACTGATCTAAATAGCACATGGCAAACATACTACATTTTAAAAAAAAAATACCTACAACTTAAAACAAGCATATTACTTAATTTTAATCTTTTGTCAATGCTTCAGCGCGGTAGAACTCTCAGGTATACAAAGCAACAAAACACATGCCTGATACTTAAAAAAGGCCACTTGATCAGCAAAAATATCGAACAAAATTCCTCAAATTGAAGAAACAAACGAAGAAATGGAAGCTTGTTGCTTTTCAATGTAGAGTAGCAGGTAAAACAATAAATGGTGTAATAAAAAAGAACAAGCTCTCACCACATTATCAAATATTCCTTAAGAAGGAAATTTCACAATGAAAAAATATGTTCACAACCTTAACAGATATACCCAACTATACTTCATTTCCCAATTTTTCCAAGAAATACCACATAGCAAGGTATCCCAACAGGGCAATCGCTTCACTAAATACCATTATTTCATGACATTTATGACCATTCTATCTTGCAAAGGCATCGAAGATTAATAAAATCGAGAAACTTTATATTTCATGGTAATTTTTTATTTTTATCTTTTTTTTGGGGGGGGGGGGAGAGTCCAAACACAGATATTTTTGTGGTGATGCATTCACAATGCCACAATGCAGATGCAATATAAAATCCTAATAAAGCAAGAGGGACAAAGTCCATGTTAAAAATAAAAATAACAAAAAGGCTATTTCACAACAGGTAATAATAGACTCAAAACAGACATAACATAATAAAAACTTCGATTTCATGCAATTTACCTTTAGAGCTCCTCAGAGATCTGAGGACGGTTTTGTAACCCAATGTGTACTTCCCACTCTTCATCACGAGAGCCAGTCTGTTGTTGATACTTTCTTGTGTCTTTTTCTGGAAGAAATACAAAAATAATCTCGCTCAGTGAAACAAGTAGAAAACAATGACTAAAAACCCGACGTACCCAAAATATGAATGAATCATAGAAAATATAACAAAAAAGTATCCTTACAACTGAGGAAAACAAAATTCACTATTATAATGAAAATGACAAAATTAAATCACTGAAATATATATTAATATTTTATTATAAGTAGAAAATTTATTAGAAGAACAACAAGACAGGAAATCAAATAATATAACATAGCTGGCACATATAAACATAAAATTAATGGGTGCTGATATATTCAACACTGAAATAAAGCAAAAAAATAAATGGGACATTCAATACTGATATATAGCAACAGCGTTAGATGTATAAGGGAAATCACATCATACAAATATCAAACAAGAAAAAACAGATTTGCATTTTGAAAGTTGTAATAAAGCATTAAGATTCAGTTCTCCGGATGGAAAATATACGTCTATAAGAGCAGTCAGATTAATAGAAATAACAGAAGAAAAGCAATAGTGTGGGCCTCAATGGTTTAAATGATGGCAATAGCAAAAACTAAAAGAAATGAATATCACATCAAAGCAATAGAGTAGGAAGTTGAATAGCAACTAGAGCAATTGATTCCCTTGAAATTTATAAAAGCTTGATCCACAAATACCAAACACAGAAATGAGAGGAAATATCATAAACTCAAAAAAGGAAAACAATAAATAAAGGAGAACTAGAAAACTTAGCATTCAATCTAAAAGAAGATAACATTCAGCCAACAAAGCCTAAAAAAGACAATTGTCGTTCAATGAACAAGAAAAACTTCCAATAACAAGTATAAATGAAAACCGAACAAGGAAAAGGAAATAGAACTTGAGATCTGAGAAAAAGTATACTTAAGAGTGCTATGAAGAATCACCACAAAATCTCAGATAATTGGATAGAACAACACAGAATAAATTCAGAGAGAGAGAGGGAGCATAAATGGATCAATCAAATCCTTTCCAAATCTCAGGAAAAAAATGGTCAGATAGCACGAAGAAGAAGTTCACAGAAAACATAAAATTGCATAAAAGTGCAGATAAACACCGTCACATAGAGATAAAGAGAGAGAACAATTGCATTTTCCAACTGATCCGAAAACATGGTGGAATAAATGGAAATTAAAATACATAACAACACATATAAGAGCGAGAGAGAGATCATAGATATACAGAAGTTCAAGTTCACTTAGGATCACCATGGCTGCCAATGCTAAAGTTTGTACATCCAAAAAAACAGAATCAAAGTGAAATGACGAGATAGGGTCCTTACTGTCTTCTTGGCAGTAACCATGGCTGCTGAAATGTTTGAGTTCCTGAGTTTCTTCTGAAATTAGGGTTTTCTGAAACTAGGGTTTTCTGCCCCCGGAGGAAGAGATGACGAGCCTGCAAAATAGCCCTTCCTCACTTTCAAAACCCTAATGAAGCTGGGATCTATATATAATATGACCAAAAAAAGAAACGCCCCCATCTTCATATTAAAGACACGAAGTCCAAAGATTTACAAAATCGAAAGGATATTGTTTATATAAAGGTGAGGCCCTAAACAATCAATTTAAGGCGTACCTCAAAAATCTATTGAAAAAAAGTTGTTTTAATGTTAAAAATCGTAAACTCCATCATCTCAACCTCAAGATGCATGAATATGAGAAAAAAATTAGATTTTAAATATTGAAAACAGTACATCTTATAATGTATTATTTACATCTTATAATGTATTATTTGGACTGTCAATTTTCAAGATTTTCAAGTGTTCATATATTTGATCAATCTAATATGTTTTAAAACTTTAAATTCTATAATTAGATATGAAAATAAATTTTCACCATCATAAAAATTTATGATACTAAAACAACACATTTCAATACCATTTAAAGGTGTGTTCTACTTTGATTGTTTAGGGCCTCGACTTTATACAAACCACACCCAAATCAAAAATCAAAATCAGGAGGGCCGCTGATCTAAAATTACCACTAGAGCCCCAAGAGCTCACATTTTTAATGCAATTTTCCCTATTAAACCTCACCTCTCCTATGTTTGATGAATGTTTTCATCATATCTTGCTTGTCTTTTGTATTTTGGCACATTTTAAGACTAAAAGATTCAATGAGTCTTGTTGATTCATATGGGCTTGCCTCTCTTTTTTTTTTCTTTTTTTTGGTTTTTGGGGGGATGATTGGTGTTGGGTCAGTTCAGTGGGAATCAAACTTGTAATGTGCCGTCCACATTTATAGAGGATTTGAAATGCATCTTTAAATCACTGCAATTTCATGTCCATCTCAAATCCATGAACTTTGGAGCACCAAACTCCGTGTGGGTTTGTTGGTATTTGAAGAAGGGTGTGGTTCATTTAAGGTGCTAACTTTAAACAATAAAAATAAAAAAAAGTTTATATAAGGTTGCAACCTTAAAATGTAGGATTACAGATGCGCCTGAAAAATCCATCGAACGTCTTTTTTAGGTGTGTTATGGAGTTGGCACAAACTCTAAAATGATTTATCGGACTCTAAGCACACTTTAAGCTATCGGATTTCACATCTAATAGCTAAATGTTATCGTGATGATGTGTAAAAAAAATGAGTAATCTTGTAGTATCCAATCCATGTGGAAAAGTACCATACTCCCTAAGGAGCATATTCTATCATGCTTGCTAGGATATTTTAGCATGGTATGCTACGCAACATTCCATGATCCCCAACGAGCATATTGTAGTGTATTGATGGGGTTTGATTAGACCAAATATCTACATATTCAGTCCAGATTATGCTAATATTTACCACTTATTTTATGGAGCAAAGTGTACAATATGTTCTCTAGGGAGTATGATATGAGCTGACAAATAATTTACAAAATGCCAAACTTGCTCCAAATTTTGGGTGTGTAAAATATCAGCCAAGTAAACAAAAGGAAAACTTAAAGGATAATGGTTTGATAGGGCTGCAGCCTATCAAAATAAGTAAAGCCTCACCTCACAACTCATCAAAATTTGCAATTTAAGAGTTAGAAAACCTTTACATCGATCATATTGGCTTGAACATTATAATTGTGAAAAAAAAAAAAGGATTTCAAGCTCTCAAAATAGTGTATATTAGTTTAGACCAATGTTTTAAAAAGCGGCTCGGTGATCAGGATCGGGCACCTCAAAAACAGATCCGGATCGACGAATCGACGATCATGATCAGGAATCGGCTGAATCGGTCGGATTAAAGCTTCAAAAAAATCTGAAAAAATTATTAAAATTCATTATAAATGTTATTTTGTAGGAATCCCATAAGAAATGAGGGTACTACATTATTAACTTTCATTGTTTTCATCAATTTATGAATATTGAGATGTTCTTTCCCTATATGAACTTATGTTGACCATTAAATTTACATCACACAAAATAAATCAAGGAATTATCATGGATTAAGTATATAATCATATATGGACTACAATAAAGAATTAACTAAATCGATGAAAAATTGGCCACTAAAATCTCGAATTGGCTGAAAACCATAATACGCTAAAAAAACTCAAAT